ATACAAGATGCTGGAATAAAGCTTCCTCATGGCACCACTTCGCTTGAAGTGAAAGATCAAATCAGGTTCCTTAAAGAAGTTTTTGACAAGCTGGAAGTAGTGGAGCCAATTCTAGAGAATGTGGGAGATAATCTGAAGAGAAACAAGGAGCTGAAAACTTTAGCCAAGCTTCCCACTCCAGGAAAGTTTCTGATCACTTGTGAGCTTGAAATGCTAGACAATGTGGTAGCCTTGTGTGATTCAGGATCAACTGTGAATGTTATGTCTCTCCACTTAAGCCAAACCTGAGGAATCAAGGAGATGAAGCCTTGCAAAGCCTCTATTACCTTTGTGGATAATAACTTAACAAGACGTTTGGGCATGGTGAAGGATTTTCCTTTGAAGATTGGCAATTGCTTGGTGCCAACAAATTTTGTGGTTATGGAAAAGACATATTCAAGAGAGGTACCACTTCTTCTAGGAACACCATTCTTGGCAACAGCAGGAGCTCAAGTAGACTTCAAGAGAGGCACTGTGATTCTGAAGAATGTTGAGTACAAGTTCTACAAGATTGTCTCACCCTCCATTGCTTTCTGTGTACCATTGTGGAGAAAGAGAGTGAGCAACAGCAACTTCAAGAGCGTGTGGAGCAAGCTTAGGGCTTCAAAATGAACATGCTGATGAGAGACACTCTACCTGATGAGCCAGAACAGAAGCTAGACACTGAGTTGAAGCTTGAGGATGGTTTGAAAGAGGATGAGGGGTTGATCACCAAAGAAGTGAAGCCTTTGATCACACCAAATGTCAAGAAAAGGAGAAACATGAAGAGATCGGGGTGCAGCATCGAGCAGAGCCTCGCAAATTCTTGCTCGATACAGTCTTCGGACCGTACATCATGGAGCCCCAGTCTGTACATCCACAAAGATGCTCGATAGAGTTACACCCATGAGTAGCATCAAGCAAAACATCCAAGGTTTTGCTTGATATGTATGTTATCAGCTGACTCGAGCATAAGACGATGTCTGGTACTATAACCACCGACGAGCATTGCAACCGGGTACGAGAAGATCCACATCGAGGTGTAGCATCAAGCAAAATACCAATATTTTGCTCGATTCACAATATCCGAGCGAAGAACAGGCATCCGGATGATGCTATGCACTGCCCACAAGAAGGATCATGCAAACCGAAGTGTCTCCCTACACCGAGCAACAACATCGAGCAGAACATCTGCTAAGCCTGCTCGATGCAAAGTGTCCCGAAGGAGAAGCTGATCAGAACACATAACCCCCGAGGCATATGAGCAGGATCGCCAAGCCACAGGACCCAACATCCCCGATATGGTAAACATCAAGATACCACATCGAGGGTTTTGCTTGATGTGAACCGTGTAAACAATTTTTTGAAATTTTTACATAGATAAATCGAGTAAAACCTTTTTGTGGATCTTGGTGGCTAGTAAAAGAATCTTTTATTTCCCCTTTACATGCATGTTAAAATTTTAAACTAGATTTTCTTGTATTTTCTTTTATTTATTTTAGATTTCCCTTATCTTTTACCTTAAACTAGCATTCTTTCTTCTCTCGACATCCATATCGAGCTTAACACCATCTTTCTTTCTGCAAAACATATTTCTCATCCCTAGAATACTCTCAGTTCATTTCTTGCAAGTTTATCAAAGATCTAAGGTATAAGTGTTCTTATTTATCATTTCTATGCGTTTAGTTTTTGGAAACTATGATGAACTGCATTAGATTGTCTGTTGAGATTGTTTTGCATGATTTTACTTTGGATTTGAGTTGCATACCACCATTGTTGCTCCTCTCTTTGATAATTTATGGTTAAAATATTTGGGAAATGCTTATTTTGTTTTTATTTTGGCATATTGTTTAGATTTTGGCCAAATCTAGGCAAGTTATTGTTTTTCCAGAATGTTCACCATTTAAATGTTTCATATTAGAGTAATAGTAATATATCTGATGCATTTTCATAATTTGGTGGAGAGAATATGATATTTTTGCTGCATATGCTTGAAATTGACTAAATCGCTGCTTGTTGCTGTTGGAATTTTAATTTTCAACGTGTTCATTCTTTTGAGCTGAAATATTTTGCTAAATTCGACTCTGTTTGTTGCCAATCAGTGTGAATTTGTATAGAATTTTCCTGTGCATGCTTGATTTTTGAAAAATAATGTTCTACACAGTGCTCTTAAAGGATAATATGCTAATTTTTGCTTCAAGCATTGCATTTTAAGGTACTATGTCGAGCAGTAGAGGAGATGAGAAGATTCAAATGCTGCTGCAAGAAACATATCAGAGGGAAAAAGGCCAGTGGTTGAAGAAGAACAAGTCCAAGATGCAGCACCTAAGCTCAAAGACTACATGAGGGCGATGATGAGAGTAGACTTTGCTCCAACAAGATATGATAGCCCTGGTCTGTTGGAAGAGCTGGGAATCAAGACTGATGTGGATGAGCTGTTAAGAAACTTTTGACTTGAGAAGTTTGCTAGTATTGGGTATCCAACATGCAAGCAACTTTCTTGTGAATTCCTTGGAAGCTTCAAAGTGTACTTCTACAAGTTTGATGAAGAACATGATGAAGGAGAAGAAGACTTCGGCAATGGATTCATCAAGTTCAGAGCCAACAAAGCATGTTACACCATGGGATTCACTCAGCTTGAAGAAATATTTGGATTTGATCAAGGCTTAAGAGCACAAAACATGAGCTTCAAGCACAATGAGATCAGGCATGTGTGGGAGGAGATAGCGAATGATGCATATAGAGCTGATCATCTGAAAAGTGCTAGTATCAGCCATCCAGCTATCAGATATGATCATAGGATCCTCACCGGCACACTCTTCTACAGAAAAGAGCAGAATATGGTTAAAGAAGAAGAGATGGGGTTGCTTGTGAATGGCTTGAAAAACATTATGATGGAGACAAGGGAAAATTCATGGAGAGCGCTTAGGAGTTGGTCTTATTAGACAATTTATATTTTTGTAAAAATATTTATATATCCTAAGAGCAGTGAGGTGGTTGGTACGCACAAATGTGCATGCCAACCATCTACCCGCTCTTAGAATAAGTAAATATGATAAAATTCATTTTGGTTTAATTAGCAATAGGTCAAGACGAAATGTATATATATTGGCAATATTATATTGTATAAGGAGAAAAAGAAAGTATAGTATAGATAATATTCAAAACATATAATAAAAATTTAATTATTATTTAAAATAACTTTTACAATTGTAATTATATGTTACTGTAAATGCTAAAAAAAATAAAAAATTTCAAAAGACACAAAACGATAAGAAATATTTGTGTGATAGTTGTTGAACACTAAAACTGTATATGTATAAAAATATAACCTTTACATAATGTATAAGAAAATAAATTAATACTTAAATATTACAACTAATTATATCTATTAAAAAATATATATATGCACATGATTGTGGGCAAAAAATAAAAATTAAATAAATTATTATGTATTTTTATGTTTTCCCATTTATTTAGTTATCATATTTACATTTTTTATCTAAAGAAATATTTTAAAATCTTGGTTAATATTTTTTTATCTTCATTTTCTATTAAAATCTATAACGTTTTATATTTGATTTATCATTATTTTCTATTATTGAATGTTTATAATTTTATTATTAATATACAATTAATTATATACAAATAAAAATTCTTCAATATTATATTAATTATAATTGAACATATCAAATGTTTTATAGCCTGCACACGGTGTAGGCCGATCACCTAGTAATATATATTTGGTCTATATAAAAACTATTTTTATGATTTATTTTAGCAAATGCCTTTCATTTCATCGAGAATTTTACTTGTTTTTATTATTATATCAATTTATCTTTTAATACTTTTGAAAATTTTAGCAATTGAAATATAATGTTTAATTCTAAATAAAAGTAAAGAAATGTTAAAAATATAATTATTGTAAAATTTTCACAATACTTTTACAATTTTAGGTGTTTGATAAATTCAAAATTGGATTTAGAAAAAAATAAAAAAAAAGAGTCAAAATAAAAACATAAAGGAATATTAATTGATTAGCTTGTGATATGCATAACCATATTATTTATAATTAATCTTATGTATAAAATGGTATACTTAAAAAGGGTAAAAAAATAGAAAATAGCTTACAAATTCATGTATAAAATCAATGGAAGATATACTACATATTATCTACTAAAACATAATAACCTTACATAGTAATCACAAATTCAAATATAAATGATATAAACACTAAAAATGAGTGGAAACAGTCAAAGTTTGTGTAAACCGATCTAAATAGTGATTATATTAATGCTGCGGATTTCTCAAAATATGATAGGTAATAAAGATCTTGAACTTGCTCCAGTTTCCAAAAAAAGAATTTTAGCCAAATCCAATGTCTTGCGTGAATGATACCAAATTTTTTTTGTAATTGTGTAGATGCAGTGAAGAATTTTCAGTTCAAAAATATTATAAAATATTATTGCAACAATATACTCAGTGTTCCAAATGATTATTTTGGAATTTTATTTCGTATACGTACTATTTGTTGTGGTATGCTTAAGGTTACATGCAAATTAACAGACATAAACGATTAATTACTTTTTATTAATAGTTTTTAACTGAATTAATTTTTATTATTTATCTTTATTATAAAAGTATGATTCATAGACTGTCAACTAAACGATTATGTAATAAACATAAAATATAATAATTTGATAAATGTTTGGGCTTTTTGTTATTTTTGAAATGTCTACATATCCTTTTTATTCTATTTTTTAATTCCCAGCCATCATACTAAGTATGTGAAGAAGATGTCATGGATCACTTGAGATAAATTGACACAAGCCAAAAAAGTAGGAGAATTGGGCTTCAGAGATATACTTTACTTTAATGATGCCTTACTGGCTAAGCTGAGTTAGAAACTCCATACCAACCCAAAGAAGGGCTTGAATCTGCTTTGGAATAATATTGCCAAGATGCTCCTTTCCTAGAGTGCACTAAACATTCAGCTTCTTCCCATAGATGGTGAAATCCTTGGATCTTCCTGGCTCAAAAACAATTCCCAATGGAGCCTGCATTAGAAGAGTCCTTGAAGCTTTTGGTATCTGACCTCTTCCTCCCAAACTCCACGGAATGAGATGTTAAAAGGTTCAGCAAACTCTTCCTTTCCACGCAAATTAGATCCTGACCCTACGACCAAGCAAGACAAGAGTACTGGACAAGTTAGTCTAGCTAAAGATAAGCTCTGGAATCAACCCTACAAAAATGGGATATTACTCAGCCCTAAAAGAGATAACAGTGGAAGTGGAGCGAGTTAACGAATAGCCTGAAATGGATATTTGATATATGGGCAGTTACGAATAGCCTGAAATGGATATTTGATATATGGGCAGTCAAGACCTCCCCAAAGCTCTAATTTCTCCTAGAAAGCTGCAAAAGGGGTTCTCCCGGTTGGAGAAATACATGTATCGAGACAAATCCTCATGGACCCGGCTTGCATTAGATGTGGAGAGCTCGAAACAATACCCATGTGCTCTTACATTGTCCATTTGCTAAGCGTGTTTGGGAAGCAGCTCCTTTTCGTGACTCCTTCACGCCAATACAAGATTGAGACTTTGCTGCAGCATGGTCAACCCTATGACAGCTAATCTGCCTTCCTCCTATCGACATTACTTCGACTCTGCTTGCCCCTTGGTTAATTTGGAACATGTGGACAGTGAAAAAAAAACAAGATATTCAGCAACAAGCAACTCAACGTGGAGGAGATCGTCAACAAATCCATTGTGGGAAGCAAAGGAATGGAATCTCATATCCCGACCCTCAGAATCATTAGAGAAAGAATTGTTACCTGCATTACATTCAGAAAGGATGCAGCTTGCAGAAGCGATTGTAAGGTGGCTGGACTGGGTTGGATCTTCTCGATGGGATAGAAAAATATGATAACCCAGCACTCCAATGTGATCAACTTTGTCTGATCACCCGTAATGGTGAAAGCCCTAGCAATTTGAGAAGCTCTAGAAGATGCATTGAGTCATGGATTGACAAGACTTTACCAGGAAACAGATTCGACAATTAATCAAAGCTCCGACGTCAGATCGGACATCACAACTTTAGCAAAAAAAACTTTACTTTTTTCAGTTTCAATTTCATTAGTCAACTCAATCGCTGTAACTGATTGGGCGATTAAATGGACCTTAAGAATGTATGAAGCAATCCCAATTTAATAAATAAAAATGAGTTTTACACCCCAAAAAATAAAATAAATTACATGTGTACTTCTATTTATTGCATCCAAAATTTTTATGATTTTTTTAATCTTTTTTAAATATAATTATTTTTGTGATATTTATTATTAGTGATAAAAAATCATTAAACTCTTTTTCTCGTTTTATGGTTGAGTACTTCAGAGAGTGGTTTTATATTTCATTTTTTCTTAAGCTAAAAACTTTATCATAGAGGTTTAAATTTTCAATATATATATATATATATATTTATATTTAATCTTTTATAAAATATATTAAAAATACTAAGATCAACCAATCTATGATATTGAGAAAACTTTAATTCTTATAATTAACTATTTTATGTATATATATTATTGTTACATTAAAAAATGTAAGGTGTATTGTATTATAATTAGTTATTTATAATAAATTTTTAATACAAGATATTAAGAAAATCTAAAAAAAACAAATTAATAAAATAATAGAATTTGCACTCAATTCTAGTTCTGCAGAAAATGCAATAAGAAAAAGAAAAAAAACTGGTTGGGAAGGAAGGTTGGGAATAATAAAAAATTAATATTTTTTTTTTAAAAAAAAAGCTTGAAAATATTAATTTGTTATTATTTCCAACCATCCTTCTCTATTTTTTATTATTACTCCCAACTATTATTTTAAATGTCTTTTATATATATATATTCTCATACATCATTTGCTTGAATATATTAATTTGTAGAACTATTGTATTATTGACAAAATTAAAACAATGATTATTATAAAACATATAACATGTATGACACATGCTACCTTCATCAATTAGCAATACTTTACTTTGTAAATATGTAACTACCATGCAAATTTTGTAATATCTAATACTTGATTCATCCAGTAATAATATATATTTGGTCTATGTCAAAACTATTTTGTATGATACTGTATTGTTTTAACAAATGCATTTCGTTTTTTTCGAGAATTATAATTGGTTTTATAATTATATCAATTTATCTTTAAAAACTTTTGCATAATTTTAGTGTTTAAAATATAATTTTTAACTATTAATGAAAATAAAATAATATAAAAAGTATAATTATTGTAAAGTATAAACAATTGTTCGGGAGTATTTTATGCATTGCTTCCAAGGGATGTGAATTTGTCATCACGGATGAACTCCATTTCAAGTTTCGTCCACTAGAAGATGAGTAGCATCGATGTAATCAATAATTAATATTTACTATCTTAACCACTGTTCATTAATAAATGATTTATGATATTTATAAATTTATATATCTAGTAAAAATGTTCATGAAAAATTAACAAAAAAGCATCTACTTTATTTTTATTTTTATCTACTCCTTAATGACTTTGATCATACATCTTTATTGTTCATGATTTTTATTCGTTTCGTTTTGTTTCCATATTTTCTTATGATATATTAATAATTACTAGTGTTTATTCTTATTTTTTTTAATAGTTATTTATTGACTTTATCAATTACAATTAAAATATTTTTTATCTTTGCAGAATAACATTGAAAATAAATATTTAAATATTAAACTTGCTTAACAATTGAATTGTTTCACAATCAAGTATGGGTACACTGTTGAACAAGAGATAAATTGTTTCGCCATGAGATCACGGCCGTATGGGCCAGATGTGAGCAAGCTACAGGCACAGGCGTGGACAGTCAAATGCCCACCCAAAATGAAACACTTCTTATGGCAGACTATTTCGGGTTGTCTAGCGGTTACGGACCGCCTGCAGAATAGGGGTATACATTGTGATCCCACATGCAGTCGTTCTGGAGAGGAAAGAAAAACGATAAATCACACACTATTTGAATGCCCATCAGCTCTGCAAGTATGGGCACTTTCAAGCATTCCGACCCCACAATATGGTTTCCCTACGGGTGCCCTTTTCTCAAATATGACACATTTGTTTTGACATTTACCAAATCACGAGGATATAAAAGTATACCCGTGGCTGTTATGGTACATATGAAAAATGATAAATGATAAAATTTTCTCAAATATTGATCGGGATTCGCGAGAGGTGGTGCGACTAGCAGTAGCGGAAGCACATACTTGGGATGACGCACAAACAGACCCGACAGATATACCACCATTTGGGGTCCAAGAAACAGTAGATTTGGGGGGGGGGGGGGGGGGGGGGGGTGTATAACTTGTCAAACAGATGGTTTATAGGACTGTACTAGTCAATTCTCAGGTTTGGGATGGTTCTGTCAAGGAATCGGAGAAATGGATACTTTGATGGGTGCAAAAAATGTCCGGCGGAGTCTGTCTGCGCTACACTCAAAGCTAGAAGCCATGATTTGGGCAATGCATAACATGCTCAATGCGAAGAGGCTGGAGGTGACTTTTCTCACAGATTGTTCAGACTTGGTGAAAATGGCGTCTAACCCGACGGAGTGGCCAGCATTCTCTCTACATTTGGAGGAGTTCGGGTTGAGCAGGAAGGAATTTGCTTACTTTAACTTAGCTCATATCCCACGTGCACAGAACAAGAAGGCGGACAAGCTAGCAAGAGGTGCATGCGTATGCCTTCATCATCTACACTATGTAAACTCGCTTCCACCGGCTTGGCTCTCTGAAACGGATTAGAAGTATGAGGCTGATGTCAAAAAAAAAATGAATTGTTTATATATAAATTCCAATTAATTTCAGGATCTAAATGAAAAAAATTAAAATAAATTTCATGTGCACTCCTATTTACTGTCCGATTTTTTCATGATTAATTTTTAATCTCTTTTTAATATATATATATATATTATGATATATATTATTAGTGATAAATATAGTTTTTCATTCGTAGTGAAAATAAAATAAAGTTAAAAGCATAATTATTGTAAAATATAGGCAATATTTTAGTTGTTTGATAAATTCAATATTAGATTTTATATAAAATCATAAATAAGTGAAAATAAAATGAATATTAATTGATTAATTTGGAAACATAAACCATATTGTTTAAAAACAGAAAATATTAGAGGACATCTCAAAAAGAATCATGTACAAAATCAATAAAAGATGCACTACATATCATCTACTAAAACAGTTATAACTTTACACGAGTTATAAATACTATGAAGAATGAATGTCACCACATTAATCACAAATTCAAATAGAAATACTAAAAATGACTGAAAACAAACAAAGATTTTGTTTAGAATATCTCTTTTTCATTGGAATTTCTTTCATATGGCAAATCAACAATGTGGTGTTTGCGGTTCCAAAAGGTCATCGGTAAATTCGAATAATTGTTTTTTCAATCAAAACAAATCTTTCGCATATGGAAAATTGATAAGTATTGTCCAACAAGGTCTTAAATCTGTCAAGATCTGAAAACCTAGAAACATCTTAAATGGGAAGTTAAAAAACAAAAATTGAATTAGGTTCCTTTTGTAAACAATTCAAAATTGACCAAACAGTTAGTAACTCTTTCAATATAGCTCTGCTTGCGAAACAGCAATGGAGATTAATCCACTATCCATCATCCCTACTAGCTCGCGTACTAAAATCGAGATACTACAGATTCTCTTCACCAGTAGAGGTGGAACGTGCGAGCAATCTCTTTTACGGATGGCGAAGCATAATGGCGGGTAAGGAACTGCTACTTGCAGGACTCAGAAAATCGATAAATTCAGGAATCAGCACAAGGGTATGGTATGATAACTGGTTGCCAGTCTGTCCACCCCGCCTAGTCCAAGATAATGGAGGAGGGAGAGATGTGGACCTTTATGTCCATCATCTTATTGAGCCGGTCACCTCAAATTGGCGCTTACCTCTCCTATATGACCTTTTTGATCCAGAGAAAGTTCCGCGTATAAAGAGTATACGGCCCAGCAGAGTTTATAAACCAGACAGATTTATATGGGCATACTCGAAGTCAGGGATGTATTCGGTCAGAACGGGATACGACCTCGCAATCCAAATTTGGGAAACAAGATGCAGTCTACCAGTCATAGAGCCAAGTTTTAACCCTCTAAAAACAAGGATATGGGAACAAAAGACATCAGGGAAGATCAAACACTTTATGTGGCAAGCCTTATCAGGATGCATAGCAACCCATAATCAGCTGGTTAACTGCCATTGCGGGACAGATCGCCAAGTCCACGGTGCGGAGCGACAGAAGAGACAACCAACCACGTTCTTTTCGAATGTCCTCCAGCCACACAGGTGTGGGCACTTAGTACGATTCCGTCCCCTCCGGGAATCTTCCCGTGCTCTGTTATATCACAAAATTTTGCTTACCTCACCAGACGAGTCTCTGAACAAGGGGTCTCGAAGACATGCCTAGAGGTGTTCCCTTGGATCCTCTGATACATATGGAAGGCTCAGAATGAAAAGGTTTTTAACGATAAGGATGTATCACCAGCTGAGACACTCGAGATTGCTATGCAAGAAGCTGAATCATGGAAAATAGCGCAAGTAATAGACCAAACCATCCCAGCATCAGAAAATAGTTCTACACCAGTATCGGAGGATTGCCAAGTACGGCAAGAACAAAGCAGGGAACTAGGAACCGTGAGATGCCAAGTGGATGCCTCTTGGACACATGAGGGTATCTTATTTGGTGGAGGCTTCTTTTTGGAGCGCGAAGACGAAAGCCGGATGGTTGGCCTGATGGCGATTGACAAAGTCTTATCCGCACTCCATGCGGAGATGGAAGCCTCACTATGGGCTATGCGAGTCCTCACACCATGCCAATTCCCTCGTCTGACCTTTCAAACAGATTGCCAGCTATTGGTAAGAATAATTGAAAAAGAAGAGGAATGGCCAGCTTTAGCAACAGAATTAGAAGAATTTGAGCTTCTCTGATCTTATATCCATGGTTTTTCCTTAGAATTTATTCCTCGCAATCTTAATGTGTGGGCAGATTGTCTCGCTAAGAGCACTCTAACCCGAAGTATGCCTTTCTCCTATGTAAACG